AGAAATGGTTAATTTAATCATCTCTGTCCTCAGTATCTCATCCTGTAACGTTATGTCTAATACAAGCACAGCTAACACTAGCTTGGCATTAACCAAATGTTAAAAACAAGCTAAATAGAAAGCTGTCTGTCTGGAGCACAGACTGGTCTGTAGTCTTAAAAACTCAGCTGCTGGCTGAGACACACCAGCCGCTCCTCCTTCTACCTGGTAACCTTACCTGCAGCAGCGAGAGAGGAAGAGGGACTGATACAGACTGATGTTATTCTTTCTAAACGTCACTCACTCCTTGTGATGTCAGATAAAGTTAAGTTTAAGTTTAAAGTTGGATCGCTAAGCAGACTCAATAAGGGTATCAATATCAATAAAAATGAACGATCCCCATCCCTAATCAGAATCAGAATCAGCTTTATTGCCAGGTATGTGTACACATACGAGTCAATATTAATTTGACAAGCATAGTGTGATGAGTGTGAAGAATGCTGGAAAAAATAAGTATTATGTGCGGTGTTATGTACATGAGGTAGGTGGATTTGGTATTCAGTAAGTTATATATATAAGTTATTATTATAGATTATATATAGATATAGATAGATTGCTGCAGACTACACCTAGCTAAGGCCTCCTTTACTGACCAATAAACAAAAGTCATGGAATTGTTTAAAAAGGAAACTAAAAGGTTCAGTCACCATTTCATAGTCTGACATTAGAAAAGTCTGACTGAATATGATGGCTGGCATTGTTTTCCCTTAGTTTCACTTGAGTCAGTGCTTGCAAAAAAATGACCTTTCCATTTGCCACTGGTTACTGTTACTGTTAATACTGCTAGGTGTTTTTGGTTTATGGTACATGGCTAATTTTATTTTAGATTGTTGGTCTAAATGTGTACAAATTATAGAAGAAATACTAGTTTGTCCATATTTTATCATGATGGTGGTGTAACTGTATTTCCATATGTGATCAAATGGGGGCAACAGAGGGTCACCATTAGTCTTCAGCTATCTGCTGTGTGAGGAGACTAGTCTTGAAAAGCAGAACACCAGAAGCCAGTCAAAGATATGTTATATCTTATATAAGATATAAGTCATATTGCCAGTGGATGACAGTATGTGACTGCTGACAGTAACAGTAACAGACATGTTGCTTAGGGATTAGGCCTATTCTCTGTATGGGACAGTTTCAGCTGTGTGTTGCATCTAATTCACACTGTATTCATAATGTAAATTAGACAATCTCAGACACATCTCAGACCAATCACAGACCAACTGTACACACTACCTGGCCTGTTTCAAAAGGCAGAATTAAAGGCTGAAGTAAACAAGCCTCTGGTAAAGAGAGAGTCAAAATACCAAGAAAAGGAGGTGTTGGAGTTAGTGGACCAATCATAAAAAGCTAAAATACAGCAGAATACTGGTTTTGCATTTATCAGGTGGCAAGTAAAAAGACTCCAGTGAGATGCCATTGTGTTGCACTACTGGATGCAACACTCAAGCTATAACAGCTTACAGTGTAGTACAGTATAGTGTCAGTGGTTTTCTTTTGTCTACCCTCTGGTGTCTGACAGAGCAAGAGGAAGTAATAGAGAGAAGGAAAGATGCCATGTGACAAAGGCCATGACCCAAACTCACATGACACAATGAAGAGACGGAATTCTAGCTTGATTCCTTTATATTTTAATTTATGCAACTTGAATTATGTTTTACACAGTTTAACAGAGAGTCATGCAGTATATTGATCCTCATAGGAAGGTTGTGTGTTCCTCCTGCCCCCTGGGTACAGAACTGAGATTGTCATCCAGAGTTGCAGGCTCTTGTGCAGGGCAGATGGGTGATGTCACTTATTTGAAATTGTGTTTTCTGACTGTGCTACCTTGCTACTGTCGAATGAACAGATTTGTTTTTTCCTTTGTCCCAGTCCTGCAGAACAATTTGCACAAACATGTTTTGAAACTGATTATATATGTATGTGATTATGTTATATAAATGATTATATATATATGTATGTGTGTGTGTGTGTGTGTGTGTACTTATTTATTTATTCTTTTATTTTTATTTTTATTCTTTGTTTACTAAAGACATTGGTTAGTGTAGATCGTTGCAAACTTGTACTGGTCATATTAAAAGACCTGTCAATATATTTGGGAGTAACAGCAGGTTAGGCATCATGTGCTTTCATATTACATTAATTGAATCCATACAACTAATTGCATTAAATGGATATCTCTCTTGTCCTTTTATGAAAAATATTGAAACTACTTTTTTCCATTTTGGACCCCTAAACATCTGTTCAAGTCTAATTTATCAAATAGCATCAAAACCATGACCGAGAAAAGGAGCAATACAATGAAACGTTGAGTTAGATGTGAGTCATTTAAGGATATAAATCATGGAGTTGTGAGGCCAAACAACTGTCTAATATACAGTAATTAATTTGTAATGTGTAATTATCTCCATTTTGGTGAGAAAGAAAGGAAGTTTCCACGAGAAGAAAGAACTGATTTCCAGTCCACATCCTGGGTTGTGTCCTTGGGCTGTACTTGGTATATCTGTTGCAAATCTAGTTTCCATTATCTTCCCTTGTAGACTCAATCAATACATTTATTGAACAGAGGAGATACAGGGGAACTTGTCACGTTACATAACGCTGAATTTCAACCATGGTGTTCTGTTGGAAGAGTATAAAGAAGTATAAATAATAAATAATGACTAGAGGAAAAGTCCACAAGCTGCGTGGCTAATTTATGCAGTTTAAATGCCATAAGCATCAGCTAATAATGGTGATTAGCAAGTTACAGCAGTTATAACCCCCTGTCATTTTGTTGGCTCGAGACACAATTGAAAAATAAAATTTTATTAATCACCCAGCCTTAATCCTTAGTAGTTATTATTTAGGGCATGTTTAAACTGCTTGCTTGTTGTCAGTGTGTACAAGTGAACGGTGAAAAGGGGATTGCTCCAAATAAGTTTTTTTTTTTTTGCTACAGAAGAACAGTATTCATGTGATACAATTATTTCATTGTTTGTGAACACAGGATGTGTTCCTGTGTTTTCATTTTGTGCTATTTTGCTGTGAAATTTTGCATCAAACGTGACATGGTGAAAAACTGTGTGAGAACCGCTTATGTCACAACATTTTAGCCTAGTTTTCAGTCTGTGTAGTTTATATTCTTTCATAAAAGGGACATTGTCCTCCTGGCCTGTATGCAATGGTTGTCCATGAGAAGCAGCCTGACTGTCTGGCCACTTAATCAGTGGATGCCAGTTACATCACTGTTCATCCACTGAGCAGGAAGTAGGTGAGTGCAGTCTTTGTTACCTTAGCAGCAGCATAATACTTTGTGAATACTGAGTTGTCAGATCATGGAATTGATCAGGAGGAAATAGAACACACAGTCGCACAATAGAAGTTCCACATGGAGACACAAAATAATAGTAATTGTAGTGGTAATAATACAAATATAAATAATAAATAATAATAATAATAATAGGACTAACAATAGTAATTGTAGCAGTAGTTGTTGAGCAGGAGAATGGGGACAGTAGGAGCTTAGTTCATAAAGGGAAGTTTCCTGGAAGTCGTGGCTTATAGCAGCACAACTAATGCCCAGTTCAAACTACACAACTTTCAACATTGGCAGATCTCTGTGTTGTTCAGACTACATGAATAGTCCATCTTGAGGTGAGTAAAAAATATGTGCAATTGCTGACAGCTCCCGATATTTAGCATGCTAGATATCTGTCTGGCTTTGACGATGCTATAGCGAGCCTCTTTGATGAGCCATTGAGTAGTTAACAATTGGATGCCTTGGCCCTGATCACCCCCGGAACGTAAGCTAGGTCGCGTTACTGGGCCTTAAAATCATGTAGTGTGAACTAGGCTTAAGGGATGGTTCATAAGTGCAAGTTGCAGTGCTAAAAAAAAGAGGCAATGCTTTGCTGTAAGGTGATCACTCTGCCTGCCTGTCTCTGTCTCATCGATTGTCTTGCACTCTGCTCCATCTCCTCCCTTTCCTAGTCCCCTACCTTCTGTTGGCTGTATTGATCTTGTGTGTCATCATGATGTTTGGGAACTAAGAGGGGGAGAGTGGAACTTGTTCTGGGTGGGTCTCCAGATGTTAAGCAGCCAATGAGGCTCCATGGCTGTGGCATTATGAAAGAACTGCTCATCTGCATTCACTGTTTCTTACTCAAGCAAGGTTGCTTTCAGCATTTTCTATAATCCATAGGTGTTGTTTCCTTGGGGTGAGACGTAATACTTAGTATCTCTTTCAGTGCACTCCTAACCTTAAGGAAATGACTCATTGTTTTTGAATTAGTGATAAGGTCAGCTGGTGGATTTGAATATGAGCAGCAATATCCTTCTGTTGAATGATGGTGGAAAAGAAATCACTGGAAAGATGAGGTGACATTTTTTATCATCCTCTGAACACATTTTCTCAGTGTTGTTCTCTGTAAACACTGCACCTTGTATTTCTAATGTTGCTCTTAAGAGATAAGAGCATGAAATGCACCCCATCCCCCTCTCTAGCTGAATGTTTTGCAGTAAAATACAGCACCCTGATAATGGGATGTACATATAATGCAGAAGTTGAACGTGTGTCAGCATTTCCATGTATGTGTGCTAACCCTCTATAAGGGTATGCCTTTAGATGGCCATTATACGTCTTTAAATCGGCCCTGCCCATTTCTGACTGTGCACATAGGATCAAATAACACTGCATAGGAAGTGAGGAAATGCATATGTGTGTATTTTTGCACGCACAAACTTTCGTCAGCAGCTGTGGATTTCCTCCTCTCTTTGAACAAAGGCAGACATTGCTGGCTTTTGTTGTGTGTGAGAGAGAACGACATTCCTGGGCAGAACATCTACCCCCAGGCACAGAAAGAGCCATATGTACGCTCGCACGCTCACATGAGCACAAATGCATATCATGTTTTCTGCAAACTTGTGTGTGTACTGCACTGGCCCCATTGGGCGTGTTCTTTCTTATTTGGATAGTTGGTGTGGGAGGAGGGTTGGGTCTATAGAACTATTCTAGCGATAGCAACAAAAACCCTGGAGAGTAAAGTACACCAGGGCGATAAGTCTGAACGAAAAAACAAACAACTGGGAACAAGAGCAAGAAAGAGGAGAAGACTGACAGCTGTTGGACGGAGGAGGAGAGACAGCAGAACAGCAGAGCAGAGCGGAAGGGAGCGGTAGGAGAAAGGAGAAAGAGATAAGCAGGAGACAAACAAGAGGAAGCACATGGTGTAAAAATGCCCACCAACTTTACTGTAGTCCCAGTAAAGGATAATTCGAGGAAGGCAATAGAGGACAACGAGGAGGATGATGTGGATGACAACAATGTCCTGAAAGAGGAAGAGGAGGAAGCCACAGGTGGGATCAAAGTTTTTTTTTTGATACATCAGGTGGATGATTAATACAAATATTTTATGCTAATTCAAACTTTTAATGCATAACAAATTTACACATTTTTCTATTTTCAAGTGAATCTCAACCAGCCTTTGCACCCAAGTTTGGACTACATCTTTAATGTTCTGTTGAGACAGCAGATAGAGATGTAGCTCTGAAAAAATCACTTTTTTACTTAGTTTACAGCATCCATTGCAAGCTGATAATTTGGCTTTGTCGGATTTTTCAGAAAAACATTGTCTGTGTGTGGTTGCATAATGTGTAGGGAGTAGTGGATTTTAGGGGAGGCTTGGTCATTTTCCAGTAACTGCATGAGATCAGAGTTCCCCTCACACGCCATTGCCACACAAATTAGAGTTTGACGTGAATTTTGTTCCATGTCAGTGTTTCCCCTAAAGCCTTAATCTCTTTTTCACCTGGCCCCTCTCATAACAAACAATTAATCTGTATTCTATTCTGTTCTATTTTTTTATTGTTTCAGTATACTACCAGGTTTCCTATTTCTGTCATACCAAATATGGGACCAACATAGATGCTCTAATTGGGAAACCCATGACTTTATAATCTTCTAGCGTCTCTCTGTGTTGATTACCATTGACATGCAAGAACTTTTACACAGTGTCTTGGCTCAGGCATGATACATATTCCCGCTGTTGAACCAAATAAAATACATGAACTTGAATAGCTCTTGTAGGTGTGTATATGTGAAGTTCAGCGAGTGTGTCTCGGTTACGGATTGGAAAAACAGGACTGTACTTTGAGTAGCCTAATATAGAGCCTGTATTTATTTAGCTGACAGTTGGTAGAAGGCCAGCTTGTGGAGTTGATAACAAAAGGACTTGATCCGGACACTTAGAATTCATCTTGTAAAAGTAATTTTATCTGGACATGTACAGAACAAAACGTTCTCCCTTCTGTCTGGCCTCTGCCAGCAATATCAACCTGATTTTATCCCGTCTGAAGGCATAAACCATTTAAAACACTTTAAACCTCTTGTTGTTGTTTTTTTTAGAATATTCAACATGGAGAGGTCGTGGAGTGCGTATTTAATAAACTCCCCTCTATCACTCCATGTCTTGCCAGACTGTTGTTAGTGAGGTTTTTACAGCATTTCGCATGCCGCTGAATCAGTTCCAGTAGTTAATTTCTGCTGTGGAGCTGCAATTATGGCCCCATGGTGGGTACAGTTTTACAGACTGTGGGATATAGAATGGCATTTTATTGTAATGGTGATGCTGGATATCATATTGCTGCATGCTTTGGTTTCCCCTTTGCATGTTTGTGTGCATGCAACCATTTGTCTCTGACACTGGCTTTACTAGTGACAACAATAGGAAGAAAGCAGGGGATGACATGTCACATAGGGCATGTACTGGCTCTGTAGCCACAAAATGATGTGCTGTAACTTGTAGAAACATCAGGAACACACCTTTTATTCTGGTTAAACTGTGTTTTGGGGAGGACAACTCTGTTATCTGCTACATAGAGCCACAGGTCATCTACAATGGAGCCTATGTTCACCAGACAGAACTAAGGATTCAGATTGTACAATATTTATACATTTGTGTCTAAATAGGTGAGAACATAATGGCACAATATGTCTGAATGATGCTTTCTTTCTTTATTTCTCACAAAACTTTGCAACACTTTGTAAGAAATTTGTGTGCACGTGTATCACCCCAGGACACAAAAAAGTCTCTTGGAGCCATGTCACCCTAAACCCAACAGGAAATAGAGCAATTTGAATTTAATGGTCATTTTTGGTGATTTACAGGTTCCATATTTTAACGAACCCCTCCTACAGAATTAATCAGATCGATTTCAAATTGTTGCTGTGCAGTCTAAAGGCATTGACGATGAAAACTTGTGCTATCAAAAATCACTGATTCACCATGAAACAGGAAGTATACTGTATATAAAGTCAGTGTACATGCTCAAATCTGCACCAGACTTTACATGTTTGATAAGAGAGACATATCAGAGTCAGACTGATATGTTTGATAGGTGTGTTCAAGATGACTGTGGCTGACTTTCACCGACTTCATCGTCTAACGTGAGCTGCATGTGACTGCAGGGGCGGGGAATAAAAACGGCACCGTTAAGTCGGACACATTCTACCTGCGTGAGCTTACTGTGAGCTGAGATCAATGACTGATCACCTTTTGCTTGATCTTGCGGCATTTTTCTTTGCAAATGTCGCAAGATCATGCAAAAGGTAGTTCCAACTTTGTGCAGCCAAAGAAAAGGGTCAGCAAGGTTTTAATGTCATGTGACATGGTGACGTTTTTCAGTGCCAGCGAAAGATGGACACAATTTCTAACCAGCATGCCTTATTTTAAGTCCAGCATGCATCACGTTCCGTCAGCGCTGCTCAGCGCCGCATGAAGTCAAACGCACCTGTTATTCACTCAAAGATTCCTCAGAATGCAGGAAATTAAGTCTTGCTTAAAATTTGCATTGTACAGTACAGGCTCAAGACTGAGTGTAATGTTCATTGAAAAAAGTTATGGTTAAAAATACATGATTTGCTGAGAAGCAAATGTCATAGTTACAAACGTTAAATTGAGTTGCATTTCCTCTGTAGATATAAAGATTTAAAACATTTATATTTGTATTATATATTGTAAATTATCTTCAATATTAGTAGTGTCAATGAGTAGGCCACTAGCCAATCACAGCACAGCAAGGCAGGACTTGCTGCATTCGCAGCTAGCATCCAATCACAAGGACGTGTGCAAGTGAAGAGAACTAGCCAATCAGAGCACAGTGTTAAAAAAAAAACGTGGATCAATCGGTGCGAAGAAGATGAGTGACGAGAAGACAGCACTGTGAGTGAGAGGAGGCAGGGCTATGTGTGCACTGCATTGGTTTGTGTGTGTCAACTAGCAGTTGGGGAGAAGAGAAAAGAAGCGCATGTTCAGTATCGATACTGTGGAAAATGAGTATTAAAACCGTAAATCGATATTTACTGCTACATGCCAATATTCACTCATACTCATAGCGCCACCTACTGGCAGGAAGTGACCTTATAAAGCGCCCGTTCCATGTTTCACCTTAGATGCAAGAAGTTTTTGTGGCACATGTATCATACCAGGACACACAGAAAAGCCTCTTGGAGCCATACCCTAAACCCAACAGTAAGTCAGCCATTTTGAATTTAATGGCCATTTGTGGATTTTAGCTCAGCATTCAACACAGTCTCAACTATGAAACTGATTGGCCAACTTAGCGCTCTGGGCCTCTCTGGACATTGGACTCCCTCACAAACAGACACCAGATAGTTTGGATTGGCAGCAGCTCCTCCTCCACTATGGTGCTCGGCCGCCCGCTAGGGCCGTGTGCTCATCCCCCTCCTGTTCACACTGTACACACCACGACTGCATCACCTGACAGAAAACTCGGATGTCACCACCATCATCGGCTAGATTTCAAACAACATATCAGGAGGAAATCAATAGTCTTGCTGAGTCGTGTACAGAGAACAACCTACTGCTCAACATCAGCAAAACCAAGGAGTTGATCGTTGATTTTAGGAAAAAGGAGACAAAGACACAAACTCCTGTCTACATCAGTGGAGCAGAGGTGGAGCAGATGAACAGTTTCAGGTTCCTGGGAATCAGCATCACAGAGAATCTGACATGGTCATCTCACATCTCCACGCTGGTTAAGAAAACTCACAAACAACTGTATTTCTTAAGGAAACTTAAGAAATGCTTCTTAAGGCCCATGAGAATTTCCATGCCAAGTTTTTGTCAACTTTTACAGAGGAGCAAAAGAAAGCATCCTGACTGGAAACATCACGAATTGGTATGAGATGTGCAATGCTCAGGACCGGAGGGCTCGGCAGCGGTCAAAACTGCTCAGAAGATCATTAGTACCCATCTCCCAAGCATCAGTGATATCGGTGTGGTGAGGTGCCTACGCAGAGCCCAAAGGATACTAAAGGACAGTACACACCCAGCCACAGCCTGTTCACCCTGCTGCCATCTGGAAAGAGATGTAGAAGTATCTGCTTTTGCACCACCAGATTGCAGAGAAGCTTTTCCCTCCTTTTTGAGTGAACTAAATGACGCGTCGCTGACACATTCCAGACGCCAGCCAGATATCTAGCATGGCAAATATCTGGAGGAGTCGTGATCTCCTGTTTCACATTTCATGTGCGTTTTCTTGACAAAATGTGGTTTGGAGACCAGCCATCATCAGCTCGTGTAGTGTGTAGTCTACACAAGCCTTTAATTAAACAGAATAAGTTTTACTCATCCTAAGTCAGCCATATAAATACAAACTTGTTTTCATTAGCTGTTGATGATTACCCTTTCAACACAAGCCACTAGACTTGTAGAAAAACATCAAGTGGTTTGACATGTAGTAAAATTGTTTGTGGTGAGCCTCTTTAAAACAACACAAAGTCAACTGAAGAATATATGTCTAGCTGTAGTGGGGAGACACAACTGTATATGCCAACATGATATCTTATACAGTGAGGAAAATAAGTATTTGAACACCCTGCTATTTTGCAAGTTCTCCCACTTAGAAATCATGGAGGGGTCTGAAATTGTCATCGTAGGTGCATGTCCACTGTGAGAGACATAATCTAAAAAAACAAATCCAGAAATCACAATGTATGATTTTTTAACTATTTATTTGTATGATACAGCTGTAAATAAGTATTTGAACACCTGAGAAAATCAATGTTAATATTTGGTACAGTAGCCTTTGTTTGCAATTACAGAGGTCAAACGTTTCACTGCAGGAGGGATTTTGGCCCGCTCCTCCACACAGATCTTCTCTAGATCAGTCAGGTTTCTGGGCTGTCGCTGAGAAACACGGAGTTTGAGCTCCCTCCAAAGATTCTCTATTGGGTTTAGGTCTGGAGACTGGCTAGGCCACGCCAGAACCTTGATATTCTTCTTACAGAGCCACTCCTTGCTTATCCTGGCTGTGTGCTTCGGGTCATTGTCATG